GAACAAATCAAAAGCTTCTATTTTTAATGTTATCCTTTTACTATATAAGTAAAGCAAGTATGTTTAGGCCAGGGTCCCACTGAGGAGAGCTGTCCTGTCATTTGTTAAACTAAATACTCTATAAACATGTGCAAATGGCCCTAAATAAACCTAAAATACAGTTTTTAAAAAAATTAAATAAAAAGAATATCCAATAAAGGATTAATACCCCAAATATATAACTTACACAATTCCACACCAAAACAAACAAATAATCCAATTAAGAAATGGGCAGAGAACCTGAATACACCCTTTTCCAAAGATATACAGATGGCCAGCAGAAACATGAAAAAATGCTCAACATCATCAATCATTAGGGAAATGGAAATCAAAATCACAATGAGATACTACCTTACACCTGTCAGAATGTCTAGTATCAAAAAGACCAGGAATAACAAGTGTTGGCTAGGATGTGGAGAAGAAGGAAACACTCATGCACTGTTGGTGGGAATGTAAATTGGTCTAAAAACAGTATGGAGTTTCCTCAAAAAATTAAAATAGAAATGCCACACAACTCAGTAATTCTACCACTGTATATTTACCCCCTCAAAATGAAAACACTAACTCAAAAAGATATATGCATCCCTATGTTTATTGCAGCATTATTTACAGGCTAAGTTATGGAAACAACTCAAGTGTCCATCAATAGATGAATGGATAAAGAAGGTGTGGTATATGCATACAACGGAATATTACTCAGCCATAAGAAGAATAAAATCTCACCACTTGTGACAATATGGCTGGAACTAGAGGTATTATGCTAAGTGAAATAAGTCAAAGACAAATAACACATAATTTCACTTTTACTTTTACGTGGGATCTAAAAAACAAAACAAAACAAAAACGAACAACCAAGAACAAAACAAAACAAAAACCAACCCAGAAACAAAATCATAAATACAGAGAACAAACTGAGTGATTTCCAGAGGGTAGGGGATTAACAGGATCTGTGAGTTAGGTAAAAGGGATTAAGAGGTACAGGCTACGGTTATAAAATAAGTAAGTCATGCGAATAAAAAGTACGGTGTAGGGAATATAGTCCATAATATTAATATTATAATAGTTTTATAAGGTGACAGGTAGTAGCTACACTTATTATGGTGAGCATAGCGTAAAGTACAGAATTGTGGAATCACTATATTGCAAACCTGAAACTAATATAACATTGTATAACTGTACTTCAATTTAAAAAGTTAAAAAATGTCAATCACCTTAAACTGATTAAATTTATTAATGTAATGGATAATATAGTACAAAATAAAACTTAAAAAGGAGAGAAGTGAGAAGTGTTTTTGATTTTTTCCTAGTCAGCTTCTAAAAAAAAAAGTTTACTTATATAAGTAATCTCTACACGAAACGTGGGGCTTGAACTCATGACCCCAAGATCAAGAACTGCATGCCCTCCCAACTGAGCCAGCCAGAACCTCCCCGCCCCCAGCTTTTAATACATGCTATGTAATTAATATATACATATATTTTTTTAACGAAGTAAAAGTGCAGATACAATTTTTTTTATTTGTTGTACATTTTGAATGTTCCATTAAGAACTATTTCATATTTTGGGATGCTTGGGTGGCTCAGTCTGTTAAGCGTCTGCCATCAGCTCAGGTCATGATCCCAGCGTTCTGGGATCGAGTCTTGCAACAGGCTCCTTGCTCAGTGGGGAGCCTGCTTCTCCCTCTGCCTGCCCACTCCCCCCTGCTCGTGTGCACTTGCTCTCTATGACAGATAAATAAAATCTTTAAAAAAAAAAAAGAACTATCTCATATTTTTTGAATGAGAGACTTGAAATGAAATTTAAATTGTTTTTTTTAGAAATCTGCAGTGTAGACTCATCATTATTTCTACTTAAAAACAAAAATCAGAAAAAAGAATTTTATAAACCTTTGAAGATATGTAATACTCTGCAAAGACTAAAGAAAATATGATTTTCAAATGCTTGCAAGTGAATTTTAAGATATAAAAAACTTACTTAAGCATACTGTATTCTTATAAGCTATCGGTTGCAACATAAGTAATACAATATAAATGACTTTGAGCACAAATCATATACCATGTATTACATGAAATAGAAAAGAGCTATAGATACAGTTCATGTATCCCAAAAGACCCGAGAAACTCCAAAGATTATATAGTAACTAATATACAATATTTAAAACAAAATGAATATAAAATAGATATATCAACTAAAAACTGTGCAGTTATTAAATTTAATTTCCTAATAAGCAATGTACTAAAACCTCTTAAGAACTGATGTACTACACAATGGTATTGATGCTATATTAAAATGGCTGGTAGAAAGCAGTCGATAAGAAATTCAGAAATGGGGGCACCTGGGTGTTGAGTAAGCAGTAGTTGAGCATCTGCCTTCGGCTCAGGTCATGATCCCAGGGTCCTGGGATTGAGCCCCACATCAGGCTCCCTGCTCAGCGGGAAGCCTGCTTCTCCCTCTCCCACTCCCCCTGCTTGTGTTCTCTCTCTTGCTGTGTCTTTCTCTGTCAAGTAAATAAATAAAATCTTAAAAAAAAAATTCAGAAATGTAAAACAATTGCTTGTTTTATATCCATTATATTTAATTGGCAAAGAAATACACATTCATTTTAATAATCAGTGTTTATTTTCTGTATGTATTGTTTGGATTTCACAAAAACATATTCCAGCATTAAGCATTTAAAACTCATTCAGGTAAAGACCAAGAAGCAGGCAAGAATGACTGTGGTAAACAGCCTAATTACAGAAAATAATTCCTATATTTTTACATTACAACATTTTAAACATTTTTTTTGAAGATTTTATTTATTTATTTGACAGAGAGAGACACAGTGAGAGAGGGAACACAAGCAGGGGGAGTGGGAGAGGGAGAAGCAGGCTTCCGGTTGAGCAGGGAGCCCGCTGCAGGGCCGATCCCAGGATCCTGGGATCATGACCTGAGCCGAAGGCAGACACTTAACGATTGAGCAACGCAGGCGCCCCTTACATTACAACATTTTAAAACAATTTTGTGTTTATTTAAGAAAGGATTTTTTTCATGCATAGTCAAGATTTTTTTCTATCATGGTATTAGGTTCCCAGGGCTGCTGTAACAAATTACTACACATTGGGTGGCTTTCAACAACAGAAATGTATTCTGTCATGGTTCTGGAGTCAGAAGGTCTGAAATCAAGGTGTCAGCAACGTTGTTGGCTCCTACTTAAAACTGAGGGAGAATCTCTTCCATGCTTCTCTCCTAGCTTTTAATGGTTGCCAGCAATCCTTGGTGTCCCCTGGCTTGTATGATGTATCATTGTAATGTCTGCTTTTATCTTCACGTGCCATTCTTCCCTGCATCTCTGTTTCTCTTCTCTTCTTCTTCTTCTTTTTTAAAGATTTTATTTATTTGAGAGAGAGAGAAAGAGAGAGAGCATGAGAGGGAAGAGGGCCAGGGAGAAGCAGACTCCTTGCTGAGCGGGGAGAACAACGCGAGGCTCGATTCCGGGACTCCAGGATCATGTTCTGAGCCAAAGGCAGACGCTTAGCCGACTGAGCCACCCAGGCGCCCCTCTCTTCTCTTCTTATCAGGACACCACACATATTGGATTAAGGGCCTGCTTTGCTCCGGTATGACTTCAGCTGAACTACCTATATCTGTAGTGATCATATGTCCTTCTAAGAAGGACATGAATTTTGGGGGGGGAAATACTATTCAACCCAGTGCAGTCACTTTCCATTTAACGTTAAAGAAAAAAATCCCCATACTATACAGGATCCAAAAATGACAGATGAAATAGGTAAATCATTGCTGAATATGAGTGTGATCTCTTATTTTTAACCAGATACTTGGATGGGAATGCACCTTTGGGAATCTTTCTCATTCGCAAATATGACTTATATGCAAGAGAAACAAACATTTTTTCAGGAAAGATTCAGAGGAGCAACCTAGGTACATTCATTTTTTTCTAATTTGAGGACACTGCTCCCTACAATATTTTCTAATTCTGCACAATTAGAAATTAATTCCACTGTATAATTGCCCAGATTTGAATAAAACCTATAAAGTGGCAAACAAGCTTGAGAACTTAAATATTACAGAGTTAGATAAAGTAAATCTACGGTGAATTCTAGTATTTCATTCTTATCCTTTGCCAATATTTACGTTGATATTTTATTCACTTGTACTCACCAATTCAGAATCTGTCATCATAATTAAGAAGATGAATTTTTCCTATATTTGAATAGTTTACTAAGCATATTAATAGTATAAATATGATTTCAGGGATAATCACTTAAGAAAGCAATCATTTATAGGTACCTTTTATCAATATGCCAATGTACCCTTTGACTAATTATATCTTTTATTCATCCTTCAAGTCATAATTCAAGCATCACAAGGTCAGATCCGTTTTCCTTCAGTAAGTGAAATCCCTACTAGATTTTCTTGCAGTACCCAGTATTGCTTCTTTGTAGCTTTTACCACTGTGTTAATTTTATATTGATTTTTGTGATTATTTAACTACCATTACTCTTCTCCACTAGACTTAAACTCCATAGGACAAGTACTGTAAGGTATGTGTATTTTATTCACCTTTGTTTCTCTGCCTAGTTAGTACTTGCTGAATAACTGAAAAAATTAGAAATGCATATTTACATATAAAAAGTTGATATATGAATCATGAATCAATCTCATTAATATGTTAAAGAATCCTTTACCAAGGGAATGTCTCCTAAATAAACATTTACTATTATAGTACTATTGGGTAGGTAAAAACATTAGGGGCACATTCATTTTAATATCTTTTTCATATACTTTTCTATTTCAAATAGACTTGGTTGAATTATTTTGAATAGCTCAATTAAAAAATGCAGGATTCAAATGATGACAGATTTTATTATGCATCAAAGACATTCTGGGATATTATTAAAATAAACATAATTTACTTTAAATATAAGTTTCATGAAACATTCTCTATGAGAGCTATTAGAGCAATTCTGCATTTTTGCCTTGCAATGTGATAAAATGGCATATATCATATTGTAAAAACCCTTTGAAACAACACTATAATTTCAAAAGTGACATTTAACAGTATGATGCATTTTAAAAATAACACTTGAAAATTTTAAATTTGCATAATACCTATATTTAAGAAGACTATATAGTACTACTAAATTATTCCCAAATAGAAATTAAAATTTCTTCCATGATCATTAATTATTTGATCCACAGAAAGTCTGTTGCAAATCTGAATATCTAAATTCAGAATTTAGAGCATGCAGATACAATTATAATCTCTCTCTTTTGACAGCTTGAGCTTACATATTTAGATAAATACACATAGTACTCTTCTTTCTAAAAGATTTCCTGATTAGAGAAAGGACTGCATTTCAAAAGTTAAATATAATGCTCAGATAAACACATTTTTCCAGTTTTGAGATGCTGCTGCTCCTTGAATTTTCTGTGTCATGCTAATATTTCTGACATTTTCTTTCTGAGGAAACAAATGGTAAATACCCTTAATTTCCACACATATATAGTACATCTCTTTAGACAGATATATATATATCTCATACTTTCTTATATTAAGCTGATCAGTAATATACATGAAAAAAAAAGAGAAACTGTGAAGGGAAAACCTGAAGGATCAAATGATGAAAACTTTCTTTCTCATAATTTGATGGCTGCTCTAAGCTTGGCTGAGCGTGCTCTGGGGTTATCCTGTACATCCTGATCTTCTGGAGTAAGTACTTTCTTGTGTATCAATTCCCACATTAAAGGGGCCCTGCCTATAGAGGCTCCTTCTTTGTTTTCATGACCTGAACCCAACTGCAATCCTTGTTTCACTTTCTGTCTAGCACTTAGGTTAAACCTTTCTGTCATGCTTATCCCAAGCAGGAATCGTTTGACAATGCGATCCTCTAATGAATGGAAGGAGAGGGCAACAAGGCGGCCACCAGGTCTCAGAAACTTCTGAGCTGTCTTCAATCCTGTGTAAAGTTCATTGAGTTCATTGTTCACAAATATTCGAAAAGCTTGGAAAGTCTTGGTAGCAATATGGGTAGATCGTTGTAGCAAGTCTTTCCGTGCAAAAACAGCAGATGGAGGAAATGCACCTATGAATAGATTTTGTAAAAACAGGAAAAGAGGACAGGAAAAATTAATATTTTCTACTGTAAATTTACTGGGTTGTGTGTGTATATATTTAAGGAACTACATTTCATTAGAAAATTGTGGCATTTCATTCATTCTTCCATTTTATTTCCAAGCATCCAATCAAGATTTAAACTATGTGTCAGAAACAGCTTTCATAACTCATAAGTAACTGGAGTCAAACAAGTAGAGAAAGAGGCAGACAAATATTAGTGATTAAAACTTCCCAACTTGAGTGAAAAATATTAACTCACTGATACAAGAAGTTCAGTAAACTACAAATAGAATAAACAAGAGAAAACCGCATTTAGGTACATCATAATCAAACTATGACAAGCTAATCAGAAAAATCTTGAATACAATAAAGAAATACATAAAGGAGAACAAAAATATTATTAACAGTTATTTTCTCATGAGGACAATGGAAGCTATACAATACTGGAATAGCATTCAAATTGTTGAGGGAAAAAAATCTGTCTTCCAAGAAGGCTATCTAAAACTATTCTTCAGAATTAAAGGTTCAAAGACATTTTCGAATAAATAAAAAATGAGAGAATTCATTGCTAATATGTCTGCATTCAAGGAATGCTAAAGGAAATACTTAATGCTGAAATAAAATGACACCAGATGGTAACTTGCATATACAGAAAAAGATTATAGATATATCTATATAGATATCCACATATCTCTCTACATATGAGTTCTCTTAATTTCTTTAAAAGGCAGGACTCAAGTGAAATTATAACAATATTTTTTACATTTATATACATTACAATACAGGTATTAATCTGTGCAAAGGATTAGAGTGGGTAAATGGAGCTATATTTTTGCAAGATTCATATGTTGTACTGGAAGTAAAAGTTGCATATTGTGGTTCCTAGAGCAATCAATAAAAGTAATGCAAAGAAATAAAGCTAATAAACTCAGAGAATAAAAATAGTACACAAAAAAATATTGCTTAACATAAAAGACGGCAGAACAGAACAAGAAAACAGAAATTAGACAAAGAGAAGACAAATAGTAAAATGGCAGACAAAATCAAATATATCAATAATTACATTAAGTATAAATGCATTAAATACTCCAATATAAATGAGATTATCTGACTGAAGAATAGCAGGACCTAACTATACATTGTCTAGAGAAATGTATAGAAATGTACTTTAAATATAAAAATGCAAATAAAAGTAAAAGTAAGCAAAAGGCTGTGAAAAGATATGCCATGAAGACAGAAGCATAAAAAAGAGAGATCGTATTAATATTAGAAAAAAAAAAAACCTTTAAGAAGGAGAACTCCTGGACCCAAAGACAAACATTTCTTATTGAGAAAAAGATCAATACAGCAAGAAAGTACAACTGTAAATGCAAATGCACCAAATAACATAGTTATCAAAATTTGGACATCTCCGAAAAAGACACACATTTATAAAAGCAATTGATTTTTGACCAAGATGTTAAGTTAGTTCAATGGAGAAAGAAAAGATTTTCAATGAAAGTTGATTATCATAAAAGAAGATGAACTTCAACTCTTACTGCACACTGTACACAAAAATTAATACAAAATGGATCACAGATGTAAGAGTAAACACTAAACCTAAAATATATATCTGACAAAACTCTTATCCAGAATATGTAAGAAAATCTCACAATTTAATAAGAAGCCAAACCACCTATGTTCAAAAATTTGAACACTTCACAAAAGATATAAGCCAATAAACATATGTAAAGATGTTCATCATCATTAGTCATAAAAATGCCAATTAAAACCACAATGAAATATCACTACACATCCACTAGAACTGCTAAATCCTAGAAACAAACTACTGAAACTGACCCAAGAAGAAATAGATAATCTGAATAGAACTATTACGAGTAAAAGGATTAAATCAGTAATCAAAAGCAACCCACAAAGAAAAGTCCAGGCCCAGATAGCCTCACTGCTGAATTCTGCCAAACACTCAAATAATTAAAAACATTACTTGACAAATGCTTCCAAAAAATTGAAGAAAAGAGAACACTTCTCAAATTACTTTATGAGCCCAGTATTACTATGAAACTAAAACCACAGGCATCACAAGAAAATTACAGATCAATATCTCTTATGAATCTAAACATTAAAATCCTCAACAAAATAGTAGCAAACCAAATTCAGCAGCATATTAAAAGGATTATACACCATGACCAAGTGGGATGGTCATGGTTCAACAAATGAAAATTGATCAATGTAATATGTCACATTGACAGAATGAAGGAAAAAACCCACATGATTATGTCAAATGATGCAGAAAAAGCATTTGAAAAAATTCAACACCTTTCATGATAAAAATACTCAAGAAGTAGGAATAGAAGGAAAGCACCTCAGCATAATGAAGCCCATATGAGAACCCAAAGCTAATATTATACTTAATGATGAAAGACTAAAAGCTTCTCCTTGAAGATCATGAACAAAACAAGAATACCCATCTTCACCACTTCTATTCAACATAGTACTGAAAGTTCTATTCAGAGCAATCAGACAAGAAAAAGAACTAAAAGGCATCAAAACTGGAAAGGAAGTAAAATTATCTCTGTTTACAGAGGACAGGATCTTATATGTAGAAAACACCAACGATTACATATACACAAACCCTATGAGAACTAACAAATGGATTCAGCAAAGCAGCAGTATATGAAATTAACATGCAAAAATCAGCTGTGTTTCTATCCTTAATAATTAACAACCCAAAAAAAATTTTTTTTAAATTCCATTCACAATGGCATCAAAAGGAATCAGATATTTAGGAATAAAGTTAACAAAAGAAAGGTAAATCTTATGTTATGGAAGCTACAAACTATTTAAAAAAAATGTTTAAGATGGAAAACTCCTCCAAATTAATTTAAGATTCAATGCAATCTCTATCAGATCCCAGCTGACTTTTTTTTAGACAAATTGACATGCTAATTCTAAAATTCATATGGAATTGTAAGAGACCCAGAACAGCCAAAATGATCCTGGGGAGGGGGGGCAGGGTGAGGGGAAGAGAATGAAGAAGGAGGACTCACACTTAGGGATTTCAAAACTTCCTAAAAAGCAATGGTAATTGAGACAGTGTGGTGCTGGTACAACAATGGACATAGAGATCAATGGAATATAATAGAAAGCTCAGAAATAAGCTCTATGAGCAACTGATTTTTGACAAGAATGTCAAAGCCATGCAATAGGGAAAGAATGGTTAATGGAACAAATAATGTTAGGACAACTAGATAGATAGTCACATACTAAAAAATGGAGTTGGACCGTTAAATCACATAGAAAAATTAACTCAAAATGGATCAAAGACATAAATGCAGAGCAAAAACTATAAAATTCTTAGAAAGAATTATGTCTTAGAAAGAAAACACAGGGATAAACATTAATGACTTTGAATTTGGCAAGAAAAAAATCTTAGATATGACACCCAAATCACAAGCAACAAAAGAAAATTGTACATCATCAAAATTAATTTTGTTATTCAAAGGCCACCATCAAGAAAGTGAAAAGACAACCGAAAGAATGGAGAAAAAATTGCAAATCATGTATCTGATAAGGGATTAATGTATCTAAAATATGTAAAAGAAGAAAATTACAAAATGAAGCATGTATGATACTATTTACATTTTAAAAGATGCACATCAAAACAGACAAACTCCATTTAGTTTTCAAGAATAGAATAAACAAAAAATGTTGATTTTTAAATAAATCAATAAATATAATTTTCCTTAAACTTACTCCATTGTCATACAAATATGATATTAAAGTATAATGTTCAATGAACTTATAAAGGAATTTTCTATTTAATTTTTTTACTTGATTACTCATTTCTTAAAATTTTTGTTCCTAGAGAATATTATCCCATAGAAATGTAATCCTTGTGGTCCAGATTCTCTATGGATGAAGATCAGAAAGTATGGCTGCAATTCTGGCACTTGAGTCTCATTGGCATGCTTCTTACAGCAAAGTAAATTATACAAAGCTGGTGCTTTAGTTCACATTTTAGTAACCTGTAGGTCCAGTAGTACATGAAACAATCAGAGAAAGAAAGAAATAATACCATACTTGTACCAGGGAGCTGAGAACCTGGCTGTCTAAAGTTAACCAAATCCATGGTATGGGTTCACTCTTTAATCCACAAAAACTACTCTGTTGAAAGGCTAGTTTAGACGTTAGGGAATTTATCTTCTAACAAGCAGGTCTCTCAGAAAAAAATATCAAAGTCAAAGCTAAAGAGGGAGGTCAACTTTTTTCTATTTGTTATTCAATCACTCCATGTTCCACAGAAAGAGTTTTGGTCACTGGGAAATGTAATTTAAAATATTCTAAAATCTGAACAAATATACAACTCTTCATGTTTTAGAGCTTGGATTTAGAGGATGCTTCAGGAAGAATGTATTCCTAAAGACTTGCATGATTTAAATCTTGCATAATTCAACATTAATTTTCTCAAAGAAAAAATGTATTATAAAATAAATTTCAATTAACATGTATTTTGATGTAAAATAGGACATAAACATCCATGGAATACAAGAAGCATCAAATAATGTAGCATGTTTTTGCTTTAATGCTTAAAATTTTGTTTCATAACATTATCTCTAATATTTTATAGATATTAAATGGATGGCTCAACATGGTAATTGCTTATCATTCTTGGCATTTTATCACATTTCAGAGATACACATTTGAGGATGTGATTATTAACAGCACTGAATTAGCCATACCTGACTTTATGTTAAACAATTCGATGAAATAACAGAAAGGCAGAGAGTTTAATAATATTTGCTTGATATTGTCAATGAATATATTTTCAAAAAATAATGAAAATATCTTCATGAAGTCCCAAAAGTTCATTTTTGCTTTTGCTTCACTAGCATTTGGAGATGTATCTTGAAAGAGGTTGCTGTGGCCGATGTCGAAGAGGTTACTGCCTATGTTCTCCTCTTGATGGAT